TTATAATTATTGATTTGGTTTTTGTTGCTGTTTTGATGAACACTGGACAAGTTCGAAAATTCTCGGAAATGAGTTTAATAATTTGGTACTAATCATTAAGGTTTTGGTTTTTTTTCAACGTAAATTTTAAGTTTGTGATGCCTTTAAACTGCAGTATCATTTGTCTCAGTATCACTTGTTGTTGACTGTTGAAACATTATTTCACGCTCCTTCCTTTTGGTTTTCGTTTACAGTCAAAAGTTTTTGTATGCGACAATTTCACTCGGACAAAAATTAAAAATTTTATTCGTAGTCCCTTTTTTAAATTTGTCCTCTATTCTGAAAAAATGAGCTTCAAAAAGTATGATTGATGTTTTGCCTGTGTGCGTACGCATGTATACCGTTTTGTATTTTGTACCTGCTGGCACCGAAGAAAACTTTTGTGGTTTATTGACTAAAATTGATTGTCGTAATTTAAACCCACAGAACTCCTGATCTAATTCCACACTCCTAACCTTGTCATTTGTTTTAATTATAAACAAAGATAGCCAGCTACAGTGAAAATACTAAAAGTTGGTTGGACTATAGTCTTAATAATTACAACAATTCATCAACGGTTGTAGTTTTTTTTCGGTGTGGTGCGTCAAAAGGAGCTGAACGTCTACTAGAGATTAAGCATGTTCGACAATCATTGTAAAATAAACAAACTGAAAACTAAAAAGTTGTAGAAAAATGTCGAGGTAAACGCAAAACAAATTTGAAAAAGATAATTTTGAATTTTTTTGTTACAAAAAGTTGCTGGAATACTAAAAAACTAGCTTTACAAAAACCAAATTTTTACGCTCAAAGTTGAGCTATTCTAAGCTTTTAGGCCATTAAAAAGAGTTATTGTACGCCTGCTCGTTTGCTTTGTTCACTCGAATGAGACGAAAAACTAAAAATTTCAAACTAGTTTTTCTCGACACTGAGATTAGTTTTAAAAATTTCAAAGGTCGTTTGAATCACGATTGTAAGGGCTTTAACTTGATGTATCACCAAACTCTCTCCGATTGTTATTTGTGGCAGCTGATTTGGAATGGAAAAGAAATTAACTAAAACACACGCGGATGCAAATTTCCTCCTCATTTATCAAATGGTCAGAACAAAAAGCTGGTCAATGATGTTGAAAATTTTTTGCAGCAATTTTTGGTTGCTTGTCAGTCTCCACCGCTATACCCTTCCATCAGCAACGACAATGCAGGCTCTTCAGTGTAATAGACCCTACTAGTGATTAAAGTTCAATCTGGGTCCTAAAGGTCAATCTGGGTCATTTTCGTCGTAGGATACATAAGCGAAAAGGAATTCTGAAAACCAATCGTTAATTATTTTTGGTTGGAGACATTTTTCTTCATTTTGATTTAAGGCATGTGGGTATCAGGGGTGGATCTAAGATTTTATCGAGGGGCGGGGATTTTGAAAATTTTGCGACCCTTTTTTTAAGTTGACCAAATTGATTTTGCGAGCACTACCTGTCACTATAAAAACTCTATTATGGCTCAAATTTTTGAAACTTTGCGCAAACTTTTGAAAAAACAAGTCAAAAATAACGTTTTTGAGCATTTTTGGAAAACTTTGATTAAAAAAATGCGTTTTTTGGCGCGCGATCCCCTTCACAATTATGCATAGTGGTGCCGAAGGTGCCATTAGAAAATTTTAGAGTTGGTCAGCCAAGTATGGATGTCACAAAACAGACCAAAGGAGGACCCTTTGATAGTGAGGGGGTTGAATCCCTGAGAGAGGAGCGTCCCCCACTCCACCCTCCCCCTTAATCCGCCCCTATCCAAAAAATTACATTTTTGTTTGGAAGTGTTTGATGGCGCAGTGACGAGCAATGCTAATACTAACAATTTATTTTTTATCTTTGCCAAAGCCCTCTGAAAGTACCTTGTACGCGTTGAATTTTTCGGGCATTAATTTTTTCTGTGGTGTACAATCAGAACCTAGAAAAGCACATGAAAAAGATTTCTTAGCTATGAAAGCAAGTAGCATCCATAGCTCAAAATTTCCGAGTACTCAAAAATGGATAAAAACTGAAAACAGTAATCTGCAAGATCTCAAAACGCAAGTTAACAATAATAGTCAGTTTTTTCAACAGTTTCAGAAAGCTCTTCATTGATTATGTGTAACAAAGCCGACGCTCTTTTGAGCCTCTCTTTATGACAAGTTTGGCAAACGAACTTTATACTATCAAACAGAAACATGCGCATATTCATTTTATTAGTTGAAGAAAATTTGTAGATCGGTGTGGTTTAAATTAAAAAGCATGCATTTATTGAGCTAATCATAGAAAACACGCCAGTTCGCTTTACGTGCGTTTGATTCTTTGTCTAATGCAACAAAACTTTGGCACATTTTAAATTTTTCCATTGATTAAACAATTTCTGTAAATATTTTTTCAATTTGACGTGAAAAAGCACTATTTTTAAATTGGATCAAAAATTTTGAGCTGTTGTATTTTCAGCTTCAATATCTGGATCACTTTTTAATTACAAATGAATTTTAAAAAAAACAACAATTTTGAGCAGCCCAGAATAGAAAAATCACTACAATTTCCTTAAATTTGTTGCAATCGCAATCAAACGTACGCTGAAATGCAATGAGTTATACTTCTCACAGTTGAGTTGCATATAAAAACGAAAATAAGCGATGATCTCAGATTCGTTTATTGATAAAATGGAAAAGAAATTAAACGACCTTCAATCCCGTCAAAAGCAACACGACTTAACGCGGAGACCTGACATCGGGGCCCAATCAAGCTTCTCTGCAGTTCCCAAATACCCACAATCCCCAGTTGGAGCCGATTCGACTCGTAAGTAATCGGATTTGCAGAAACAGATGGACCAAATGCTCGGAATGGTCCGAAGTGAGACCGAAAACGTTCGGAGTCTCGAGTCGCAATTGCATAACCGAGGAGTCTCGGGAACTTCGGGACCCCAAATGCCTCCGCCGCCGGCAACTATGACCATGCCAAAGTTCGAAGCTCCACCGGTACAACCGCAAGTAATGTTCCAAGCTCCAAGTGGTTCTGCTTCGCGAGCTTTCGGTGGTATGGGTGGCTCAATGCCGCAGCTTAATTCTGTACATATGCAACCATCCATGCCCACTTTTGGCATGAATTCGAAAGATTTCGAGCGCCAATTGAGTTCCTTGCTGACCAGAAGCCGAACAGGCGCGAACGGCGATGGTAATTCCGAAATCAAATCAGAACTCGAGGCTGTTATAACCGGCTTTACCGACTACTTGAACCACATGCGCCACGAGCTAGAACGACTTCGCAAAGAAAACGAACGGCTTAAGATTCAATTGGCTGAACAACAAGTTAAATTTCAAGTCTTAATAATTACAACAATTCATCAACGGTTGTAGTTTTTTTTCGGTGTGGTGCGTCAAAAGGAGCTGAACGTCTACTAGAGATTAAGCATGTTCGACAATCATTGTAAAATAAACAAACTGAAAACTAAAAAGTTGTAGAAAAATGTCGAGGTAAACGCAAAACAAATTTGAAAAAGATAATTTTGAATTTTTTTGTTACAAAAAGTTGCTGGAATACTAAAAAACTAGCTTTACAAAAACCAAATTTTTACGCTCAAAGTTGAGCTATTCTAAGCTTTTAGGCCATTAAAAAGAGTTATTGTACGCCTGCTCGTTTGCTTTGTTCACTCGAATGAGACGAAAAACTAAAAATTTCAAACTAGTTTTTCTCGACACTGAGATTAGTTTTAAAAATTTCAAAGGTCGTTTGAATCACGATTGTAAGGGCTTTAACTTGATGTATCACCAAACTCTCTCCGATTGTTATTTGTGGCAGCTGATTTGGAATGGAAAAGAAATTAACTAAAACACACGCGGATGCAAATTTCCTCCTCATTTATCAAATGGTCAGAACAAAAAGCTGGTCAATGATGTTGAAAATTTTTTGCAGCAATTTTTGGTTGCTTGTCAGTCTCCACCGCTATACCCTTCCATCAGCAACGACAATGCAGGCTCTTCAGTGTAATAGACCCTACTAGTGATTAAAGTTCAATCTGGGTCCTAAAGGTCAATCTGGGTCATTTTCGTCGTAGGATACATAAGCGAAAAGGAATTCTGAAAACCAATCGTTAATTATTTTTGGTTGGAGACATTTTTCTTCATTTTGATTTAAGGCATGTGGGTATCAGGGGTGGATCTAAGATTTTATCGAGGGGCGGGGATTTTGAAAATTTTGCGACCCTTTTTTTAAGTTGACCAAATTGATTTTGCGAGCACTACCTGTCACTATAAAAACTCTATTATGGCTCAAATTTTTGAAACTTTGCGCAAACTTTTGAAAAAACAAGTCAAAAATAACGTTTTTGAGCATTTTTGGAAAACTTTGATTAAAAAAATGCGTTTTTTGGCGCGCGATCCCCTTCACAATTATGCATAGTGGTGCCGAAGGTGCCATTAGAAAATTTTAGAGTTGGTCAGCCAAGTATGGATGTCACAAAACAGACCAAAGGAGGACCCTTTGATAGTGAGGGGGTTGAATCCCTGAGAGAGGAGCGTCCCCCACTCCACCCTCCCCCTTAATCCGCCCCTATCCAAAAAATTACATTTTTGTTTGGAAGTGTTTGATGGCGCAGTGACGAGCAATGCTAATACTAACAATTTATTTTTTATCTTTGCCAAAGCCCTCTGAAAGTACCTTGTACGCGTTGAATTTTTCGGGCATTAACTTTTTCTGTGGTGTACAATCAGAACCTAGAAAAGCACATGAAAAAGATTTCTTAGCTATGAAAGCAAGTAGCATCCATAGCTCAAAATTTCCGAGTACTCAAAAATGGATAAAAACTGAAAACAGTAATCTGCAAGATCTCAAAACGCAAATTAACAATAATAGTCAGTTTTTTCAACAGTTTCAGAAAGCTCTTCATTGATTATGTGTAACAAAGCCGACGCTCTTTTGAGCCTCTTTTTATGACAGGTTTGGCAAACTAACTTGATACTATCAAACAGAAACATGCGCATATTCATTTTATTAGTTGAAGAAAATTTGTAGATCGGTGTGGTTTAAATTAAAAAGCATGCATTTATTGAGCTAATCATAGAAAACACGCCAGTTCGCTTTACGTGCGTTTGATTCTTTGTCTAATGCAACAAAACTTTGGCACATTTTAAATTTTTCCATTGATTAAACAATTTCTGTAAATATTTTTTCAATTTGACGTGAAAAGCACTATTTTTAAATTGGATCAAAAATATTGAGCTGTTGTATTTTCAGCTTCAATATCTGGATCACTTTTTAATTACAAATGAATTAAAAAAAAAACAATTATGAGCAGCTCAGAATAGAAAAATCACTACAATTTCCTTAAATATGTTGCAATCGCAATCAAACGTACGCTGAAATGCAATGAGTTATATACCTTCTCACAGTTGAGTTGCATATAAAAACGAAAATAAGCGATGATCTCAGATTCGTTTATTGATAAAATGGAAAAGAAATTAAACGACCTTCAATCCCGTCAAAAGCAACACGACTTAACACGGAGACCTGACATCGGGGCCCAATCAAGCTTCTCTGCAGTTCCCAAATACCCACAATCCCCAGTTGGCGCCGATTCGACTCGTAAGTACTCGGATTTGCAGAAACAGATGGACCAAATGCTCGGAATGGTCCGAAGTGAGACCGAGAATGTTCGGAGTCTCGAGTCGCAATTGCATAACCGAGGAGTCTCGGGAACTTCGGGACCCCAAATGCCTCCGCCACCGGCAACTATGACAATGCCAAAGTTCGAAGCTCCACCGGTACAACCGCAAGTAACGTTCCAAGCTCCTAGTGGTTCTGCTTCGCGAGCTTTCGGTGGTATGGGTGGCTCAATGCCGCAGCTTAATTCTGTACATATGCAACCATCCATGCCCACTTTTGGAATGAATTCGAAAGATTTCGAGCGCCAATTGAGTTCCTTGCTGACCAGAAGCCGAACAGGCGCGAACGGCGATGGTAATTCCGAAATCAAATCTGAACTCGAGGCTGTTATAACCGGTTTAACCGACTACTTGAACCACATGCGCCACGAGCTAGAACGACTTCGCAAAGAAAACGAACGACTTAAGATTCAATTGGCTGAACAACAAGTTAAATTTCATGATTCCGAAAACGAGAAACAAGCTATCGCTAACGAAAAACACGAGCTCGAAAAAATACAAGACCAAGCGAGAGAACTGATGGCGAAACTGCAGAATACCGAACGATCAAACGAAGATCTCAGACGAGAGTTAGAAAAATATCCAAACTTTCAAAGTTTAGAGCAAATGAAACAATCAGAAAGAGAACTGCATGCTTTGAAAAGCACTGCCGCCCAGCAAAAAGAAGATTTCCACGCTGAAAGGGAAAATTTGGCATCTCAGCTCAAAAATGAAAAACGAAAATCAGAGGAGCTGCAACGTCGGCTGTATGAAATGGAAAAATTGGACAAAGAATACAACAACTTACAAATTCAGTTCGCATCTATTCAAGCCACTAAGGACTCATTGCGTGAACAGCTGAACAATGCTCAACATGATTTGAAAGTTCACATTGATTCAGCCTTGAAACCAGAAGATTTGTTACGTCATATTCAGGAAATGACCTTGAACGTTGAAAGACAAAGCGGAGATTTGGTACCATACCATGAACATGATTTGGCGGGAAAAGCGTTGTCTGATTTGCAAAAAGTGTTAAATGGGAAATTTAGTGAGAATAAGCGTGAAATGGAGAACTTGCAGAACCTAATTAACTCTTTGCAACAAGATAACAAAGAGATGGACGAGAGTTTGAGAAACGAGCAGGAAAGGCACCGGAAAACGAAAGAGTATTCGCAAACTCAAAGACAACAAGACAAACACCAGTTTGATGAAAAGGTCAAGCAATGGCAGGACGAAATCAGAAAGGTCAAAGAAAGGTCAGAGGTCGATCGAGAGCAGTATGAACAAGAGCTGCACCGTCTGGACGCCGAGAGACGAGAACTTGAAAGCACGATTCGCGAATTAGAAAAGAACCATTTAAGGAAAGAACTCGCAGAATCCGAAAAATTCCATCGCCTGCAAAACGAAGTGGCAGATTTGAAAGATATCGTCAAAACGACCAACGATTCTCATAATAACCAAGTTATGGGCTACGAGAAGCAACTTTCGGACTACGAGCACAAACTAGAAGCGAAGGAAATTAAATGCCATGATTTGGACAAAACGTGTGGTTTGCTGGAGCGAGATTTGACGAAATGTCAACTCGAGGCCGAACAATTGCAGCGTCAAGTTTCAGATTTGAATGAGAAACTAACGCACGAACAAAGAGTATGCGATAAACATCAGGACGCTATCGAAAACTTGAAAAACGAGGAGGCAAAACTGAAATCGGTCATCAAAGTTCAGAAAGAAGACATCTCTAAGTTGAGTCAACTGTTCGAAAAGGCGCTCGAAGGTGGAATTCATAATGAGGAGGTGGGAAAACTGACTCTAGAAGTCGGCAATTTGCAAGCTTATATAACCGGGCAAGACGAAACAATCCGGAAAATGGCCGAAGATTTAAGAAAAGCCGAGTTGGCAGCGCAACAACCTCGGTTTATTAAAGATTCGGATTCGGGAGAAGTCGTGAGAACTGACGATACGAATGCAGGTCTCTATTGCAACGTATTAGAGCATCACAAACTTGAAGATTATCTGGCAGTTTTGAAAAATAAACTGGAGAAAACTTCCAAGGGGAAGAAAATTGACACGAGTTTGAAACGACAGACAAAAGAACTCGATAACGTTTTGTCACAATTGGACAAAAGCAAAGCTGAGTTGGAACAAATTGATGACCAGTTCAAAAACGTAAACAAGAAGTACAAGGCGACTGTCGAGAGGATTGAGCAGTTTCAAAGGGCGCTCAGTGGGGTGACCTTAAACCCAGATATTTTGGACTACTTCAACGGAAAAGGTAACTCACTTTTGCCGCGAGAAGTCGCCGAAGCCTTGCACAAACATGACAGAGTCAAAGAGGAGCTTCAAACTACTGAAGAGAACTTAATAGAAAGGAAACAAGAATTGGAAGTTGCTGAACACAAATTGAAGGAAATCGAAACGCAGAGCACAACAGTTGAAGAAAGGACAAAAAGCGTGATGAAAGTTTACAGCGAGACTAAAAAACAACTGAATAAATCTCAAAGTCAGGCTAAGAAGCTCATTCAGCAAATGACAGCAACAAGTAGTGAGCTTAATCAAGCTTCTTCTGCTTTGAATTCGCTTAAAGGCGAAGTTGAAATTCTGGAGAAGAAGAAATCAGAAGCTGAAGCCGATTTGAAAGATATCAATAAAATCATCGCCAAAAAGAACGACGAGTTTCATACAGTTGAACAAAAAAGGCTTCGAGCTAAGGAGAGCGCAGATGACATTCGAAGCACAGAAGATGAACTTTTCGGTCATTTAAAAGCGAGTGAAAAGGCTCTCATAGAGCGCAAGAACGAGCTTCAAATGCTCGAGACTCAAGCTCAAGAAGAAGCGAGATCTATCCAAGAGATCGAAACCGAAATTATCCGAAAGAAATCCGAGTTGCAGAGTGTGAAAGACGAGCTTTCTTCGAAGCAAGCCGAACTGACAGTGGTGCTGAAAGAAGCCGAAGACAATATGAACAAAAAGACACGCGAGTTGAAAGACTCCAAAGCCGACTTGGATACTCTGCAAGTCGAAATGAATGAGTACGATTCGCTTAAAAACGAGAAGCGCCGAGAGTTGAATGAGATACGAGAAGCATTAAACTCGGAAGAAAACAACCACAGGAATCTGCAAGACTCGATTTCGACGAGTTCAAAGGAGTTGAAGCAACTGCGAGAGATGATTGGAAAAGAGAAAGCGGAACTGGACTCGCTTAGAAACGACAGGAATGATCTGCTGTCTACAAATATTAACCTCGATTTCTAAAGAGACACAACTTGTGTAGAAATATCAACTAAATAAATCCAATTTAATTCCCTTTTCTTGAAAAAAAAGTAATTTACTTCGGTTATTTTCCATTCACTGGAAACTTAACGAGTCGAAATCTGAGACACAGGAGAGATATTCATTATTATTGAAGTCAAGATATATCTATAATCAGTGAATTAATTTTGAAATATGATCTCCAACAAAATAGTAGATGGGCATATTAAGTTTAATAAAGTAGTTTTCTAGGTGTAACTCTGTTTCTGACATATTTCTACATTTCTTATTGCCATAGAATATACTGAGAGTTCCAAGTAAATACTGACATCGCTTTAGTCGCGTTTTATTGCTTATCACTTTGTTTTAATGAGCATTACGAGTCCAAACTGACCCTTTAGTTTATTGATTAATGTGTGCGCGCATGTGTGTGCGTATATGAATAGAATCCATAGACAGGCCATAAAGCATGTCAATTTTGTTTGCAAGTAAAAAGTTTCGCGGAAGCCACGAGGAGCTGTGCAAAAAATGGCAAAAAATTTAAGAAAAGAGCTTGAAGATTAGATCTGTATTATATTTAAACGTTTTGTTTCTGGAATCCACAACAGCAAAAATATCAAAGAAAACCAGCCTTGCTGCGGATTCCGAGAAAACTTTTTTCCTGCCTTGTTGCGGAATCCAGAACAAATTCAAAAGGTAACAAGACTGCTCGTATCAGGGCGAAGCCCTGAATGTTCCGACTGCCTTTTAAGGTTTATGGAGCAATAATAACAATAAGATCATTAATAAATTAAACGTAAAAAAATGAAAAAAAAACTTCCAAAATTTGAAAATTTTTCCATGAAAATCATCCTCTACACGCCATATAAACTACAAAAGAATAGATTTCGCTCCTTGTAACAACTGACCATTCTTACCCCACAAAAAATTTGTTTCTTGATACGCCTACGTTCTAATACATGCTACTAGCAGATACACGAGTTGGTTTTGCTCGCAAACTTTTAAGACCATTTTTTTGCTGTTTCAATCCTAATTAAATATCTTGCTCTAACATATCAGGGTTTCATTACTTGCCTTTTTATTTAAATTGTTGGATTAATGACTCAAACCAAATCCCCTCCACAAAGTTCATAGATCACATATACTTGCTGAGTTTTAAGTTAGGATCCTATTATGATTTTTATTTTAACTTTCAGTTATTCTCTAAAAACTTTTAGCAAATTGTAGCTGGATGGAAACTTTTAAAAGTTGCAGCCTGATGGATTGATATTTGGTCATCTTCGATTTGATAGTTCAACAAGACTGCTCGTATCAGGGCGAAGCCCTGAATGTTCCGACTGCATTTTAATGTTTATGGAGCAGTAATAACCTATAAAAAATTAAATGTAATAAAATTAAATGAAATTTTTTTTCTAAAATTTGAAATTTTTTATGAAAATCATCCCCCCACACGCCATATAAAGTACAAAAGGATAGATTTCGCTTCTTGTAACAAATCAATTATGGCAAATAAGCTTCTTTCAACCAATTTGGAACTATTTCTAAGACGGCTTAAATCTCCGCTTACGCGTTAATAGCGCGAAATACATCGCGCGTTAATTGTCCCAAATTGGCCAAAATGGCAATCTTTAAACCCTCATAACTTTACGAAAAATAATCACAGGTGAAATATCTTTTCAAATTTAAGCTCAGGATAACAATAGCTTTCGAATGATTTAAAAAAATTCCGTCAAAAATGGCTAGTTAAAAAGTCGAAATTTGTCTGAAGAAAAAAAAACCCACCCCGATCACAAATATTCCGTTACTTTCGTATCGAAAGTCGGAACAGTTAGGCCTCTTGATGCAGATTTCAATTTTTCCTGCAACGATATCTCAAACATCCTCAGTGAGAAACTGTTAGGTTTTTCAGATTGCCTCAATTCTTGCAAGTATCGTTGGTATATCTGAATAAGTTTATGTTCGCTTAATGGGGACAAACTCTGCCCAGTGGAGTGCTCTCAAAAGGAAAAAAGTAAAGGTATCGCGGAAGTAATGATAAAATTGCTATAAACAATTTTTCTGAAATTTCTAATTTTTTAATTGATATTTTCAAACTCAAAAGTCAAACCTAAATTTTAGGATGGTCATGATGTGATAAAAAATTAGGGCAAGTTTCAAGGTAATTCTTGATTGGAAACCAAACAAAAACCAAAAAAATTCAAGTGGCACTTAAATGTTCTTTTTGTACAGAGTTACCAAATAACTTGCTGCCTTACGCCTAGTTTGAAAAATCCGGGCAAAAATTATCACAACCAGTCGAATGATAATGCATGCATTTATTATCAAACTTTGAAGTTACCCTTATTGATCATTAATAGCAAAATATGAACAAAATTGCTCGTATCAGGGCGAAGTCCTGAATGTTCCGACTGCCTTTTAAGGTTTATTGAGCAGCAGTAATAACATAAAAAAATTCAATAAACGAAAAATGAAAAATTTTTTTTTATGTTCTGACTGCCTTTTAAGGTTTATGGAGCAGTACGACAACTACAGTTTTCAAATGATATTAAAAAAATCCGTCAAAAATGGCTATTTAAAAAGTCGAAATTTGTCTGAAGAAAAAAAAACCCACCCCAGCACAAATATTCCGTTACTTTCGTATCGAAAGTCGGAACAAAAAATAGAGTTTGTTGGCTAGTTTTGGATTTTTTGAGTGCATATCGAGTCCCATATCGTTAATCTTTTTTGTTTTTTTTTCTGAGGCGCGGTCGCGTCTGTCTGTTCATTATTAGTTAACAGAAGTTTACTGGCTTAACTTAGACCACTTTTTTGGTTAATTTTGGAACAAAATGTTGTTAAGGTTTTTTGGCTTTTGAAAATTGTCACTAACACTAACAGCTGAAAGTGTTCGTTAAAACATTTAAGTTTCGTTAAAACATTTAAGATTTTTTTTGTGAAAATCATCCCCCCACACGCCATATAAAACACAAAGTGATAAATTTTGCTCCTATTAACACAATAATTATGGCAATTAAGCTTCCTTCATCCAATTTGGAACCATTTCTAAGACGGATTGGATCTCCGCTTACGCGTTAATAGCGCGAAATATATAGCGCGTTAGTTGTCCCAAACTGGCCAAAATGACAATCTTCAAACCCCCAAAACTTTACAAAAAATGATCAAGGTGAAATATCTTCTTAAATTTAAGCTCAGGCTAACAATAGCTTTTGGTTGATATAAGAAATTCTGTCAAAAATGGCTAGTTAATAAGTCGAAATTTGTCTGAAGAATAAAAACCCAACCCGAGCACAAATATTCCGTTACTTTCGTTTCAAAAGTTTTGTTAATCCGATCGATAACAAAGCGTTAAGAAACTTCAGCATGTAATTTTTTTATACGCAAATTCATGTATCTCAAAAAACTCGTAAAATTGTTAGCCTGATGTCATACTGCTAGTTTTTCAGATTCAATTCAAAACAAAACAAGACTGCACGTATCAGGGCGAAGCCCTGAATTATCCGACTGCCTTTTAAGGTTTATGGAGCAGTAAGAACATTAAAAAATTAAATGTAATAAAACAAAATGAAAAATTTTTTTTCTAAAATTTGAAATTTTTTAATGAAAATCATCACCCCACACGCCATATAAAGTACAAAAATATAGATTTCACTACTTGCAACAAATCAATTATGGCAAATAAGCTTCTTTCAACCAATTTGGAACGACTTCTAGGACGGGTTAACTCTCCGCTTACGCGTTAATAGCGCGAAATATATCGCGCGCCAATTGTACCAAATTGGCCAAAATGGCAAACTTTAAACCCCCATAACGTAACAAAAAAAGATCACAGGTGAAATATCTTTTCAAATTTGAGCTCATGACAGCAATATCTTTCTAATGATGTTATAAAAATTCTGTCGAAAGTGGTTAGTTAAAAAGTCGACCCACCCCGAGCACACAAACCCACCCCGAGCGCAAATATTCCGTTACTTTCGTATCGAAAGTCGGAACAACAAGACTGCTCGTATATCAGGGCAAAACCCTGAATGTTCCGACTGTCCCTTATTTCATATCGAATAGTTTTTGGGGAAAGAAAATATCGAAAACCTGCAAAATTTGAACAAAATCAAAGTGTAAATTTTTGAGTCGTACTAAATTAATACGACCAATTAGCTAGCCTCAATTCAATTTGGAACAATTTTGTTGAGCGGGAAAAGTCGCCACGCATAATCAATTCGTGTTACGCTCTCAGTGTTAGGAGTAAATTCTTCAAAGCGCGTATAATTTTGTCCAGAACATGGCCAGTTTGGCAATTTTCAGACCTCCAGAACTTACAAAAAATAATCGAAGGTAAAATATTTTTCTACATTTCAACTCAGGAAGTCGATATCTTTAATGGGGTATAAAAATTTTTGTCGAAAACTATTATTTCGATTGGCGAAAATTGGCTGAATTAAAAAAAACCACACCGAGCATAAATATTCCGTTTTCTTCGGAAGTCGGAACAAAAAAATTAAAAACCGTTTTGTCACTGTCTTATACTAGGTTTTGCTTTATTTGGTACAAAGCGTTTCCATTTAAATTCAAAGGCAGGCGAGGATCTAGGATTTTCTCGTGGGAGGGGGCTGATTTTCCATAATGTTTCGAGAATTTTGACGACCTCTTTCTTAGTTCGACCAAATTGGTTTTCCAAGTGTTCACAGAACACTATAAAGTCTCTACTTTGACCAAAAACGTTGCGCCAAAGGCGCTTTTTGTAAACTTGTAGGGTCACTCAACCAAAAATGTGTATCTCAAAATAGTATGGCAGGGCGTCTAATTCCTGAAGGGGGGGGGGGGCATCCGACCCCCTTCAAACCCGCTGGTGCTCTATGGCATAAAGCGTTGTCTTGTGTACAACGGAAAATACAAAATAAAAGTTAGCGAACAATTTCATCGTTCTCTTAAGTTATTTCATATACAAAAATACTGATAGCTCTTCAAAAACATCTTTAAAACAAAACAAGTCTGCTCGTATCAGGGCGAAGCCCTGAATGTTCCGACGGCGTTTTAAGGTCTATGGAGCAGTAATAACATGAAAAATTAATTCTAATAAAAAGTATACACTTTTTTCAATTTGAGATTTTTTGTGAAAACCATCCCCCCACACGCCATATAAAAAACAAAGTGACAGATTTCGCGCCTATTAACATATCTTTGAACCAATTTGGAACGATATCT